GCCTAAAACTTCCAACCAATACCAGCACTCTACACCGATGCCTTTTCTCACAAAACAAAGGTGGTTTTGGCTGGAAAAAACTCTATTACGGCCCAAGATCCAATCCCTTGAACCCGACCCGATAGACTGCTTTCAGTACCCTTTTAGTTTTAGACTAGGGATGATCATGTGTCGGGCCAGGTCTTGAAGGTAACAATGATTTTAAGGGCTGTCTCGGCCCAGCATCTGGGCTTTCCTATATTAATTTATAAGGTAAATTGCTGAAACCTCCCTTAAAGCTTTTGGACCATTGTAAGCCTCTCTTGAAATTCGGTAATTACAATCACCCCTCTTGAATGTTTTGACAGTTGCGGGTAGACTCTCACTAGTAGAATCTTCTAAAAAGTGGCATGAAAATGTCCAAAATACCCATATAATTACTGAAGGGATGAGAGATCCATCATATGGATGGCCGAACCCTGTAGAAAGGTTGGGCAAAATTTCAAAAATTTATCTCTCTCCCATGTGAGAATCGCATTTCCTATTTTAGAAAATTGCATTTTCAATGATCAATCTTGAACCTAAACCAGACTATATCTGAAACCAAAAAGTGAGTAGAGGGATATACCTGATAGGAAGTAGTAATAACCTCCAATGAAGGTGTTCACGCCCAAGGAAAGATCCAAAGACTGCTTCCACCAAAGATGACACAGTGTAGGATGAAACAGAATCAACAGGATGGTTCTTCAACAAGAATCTGATGGAGGGCTAGTGAGCACGACTTCATATTACCTTTTCTGCCAAAAGGTAATATCAAGAAATCTTCTTGATCGCTCCCACAGGTGGAGATCGAACTGGTATGGCGGCAAGAGCAGGAGATAAGGAGACAGTGTAGTCAAACTGTGTTGTCTCTTTCTGGAAATCAGTAGTCAATCAGATGATTTCTGATGTGTATTGTGGGTTTGCCCTGCTCTCCTATTTATAGCCTTAAAGAGAGGTTCTCCTAATCCCATTAGGAGTTTCCTAATCCAAATCTCATATTTGGATTTGGACTCTCTTTAATCTAATTAGAAGTTTCTTGATACAAATCTTTATTTGGACCTAGACTCTTTGAGTGGATAGGGATAATCCCTTATCCTATCTGTTGATCTAAATCCCAGAACCGCCCTCTTTTAATTAATCTCATTAAGCCAGTTCAAATTAGGCTTTAGGCCCATTAAGTCCATCTGCTCACTTACCCTCCAAACTGCTGCCCAATTGGATATCCTTGTATGGCATGGGACCCAAACATTGATTTACACATCAGCCACATGGGTTCAGCCCAGCCTCTGTTATAAGGCCTGGCTGAATTCACTGTAGGAGATAGTGAACCCCTGAGTCCATCACCATAGGCTCTTAATGGGCCCAACATTTACACTAAATGATCCCTAGGTCAAGTCACCTTATAAAAACCCAAGGACTGTGGGCAGATGCAAAATTAGCCCATTAGGTATTATCTTCAATGGTCTTACACTTAACCTCTCAGCCCATAATGATCAAACACTGCCCGACAAGAGATGACATCTCCATCGGCTACAAGGTATAGTGTTGCACTCTCTACTCACATGCATCCCAGGAATTAAAACATTTTGCAAACATTTTGAAACCATAATATATATGTATATCTCTATATAAATATATTTTGCAAAACAAATTTCAATGGTTAAAATCGACTGCTGGCAGTTTTGGTTTCCATCAAAGAGAGTGCATCCCCGATCATTCACTTTGTCCGACAAAGGGGCTGATCCTGTCACTATGATCACCCACTCAGATGAATTCTCAGACTGTCCCAACATACTCAAGTTTTGACCCCCTCTAAGGATCTCACTGATTGGCATATCAAAGACAGCCCAATCCGACACCTAGTGCAGTACAATAATCGAGTCTAGGTCAAGTGTAACATTCCAGTTTTGCCCATCTATCTCCAAGGTCCAGGGCAATACTGGAATTCTGGTCCGGTTCAGGATTTCAAGAAAACCCACACTGCATGTACCTCAGGTCTCACCTTGGAAGTTGAGACAAGCCACCCCAAACCAACTTGGCGGCACATCAGTGTCAGCCTTGGCAGGATAAATCTCCCCAAATCTATCCAACGGCTGTAAAGATTCTAAACTAACACAAATCTCATATGTGTACAGTTTAAGGGTATTACACAGAAACACACCATAATAACATGAATCAAATATGTACTTTATTCATTTACATTAAATGTCATAATGTACATCATTTTGATTGGAGCTAAGGGCATACACTGTCTAACAGTTACTATTGAAGTTGGTTTCTCTAGGAAAAAAAAGAAAACAATACATACTTTATAAAACAAAAAAAGAAAAGGAGGATTTAAAGTTGCAATTATCTTTGAGCAATTGATATTGAAGGGCAAATTTGAAAAAAGAAAAAGAAAATAATACAAACTTTATACAACAAAAAAAAGAAAAGGAGGATTTAAAGTTGCAATTACCTTTGAGCAATTGATATTGAAAGGCAAATTTGAATAAAAAAAGCAATTTCAGAAAAGTGATTGGAAGGGGTTGGGGTAGTGATTCATATATAGAGAAAACTTAGAAAATAAACATTTTTATCAGAGTAACTGTGTGGGTATTTTGGACATTTTCATGTCTCTTTTTAGAGGATTCTAAAAGAGGGGATCTACTTGCAACTATGTCAAAAAATTCAAGGTAGGTGATTACCAAACTTCCAGGGGAGGTTTTAATAATTTACCCTAATTAATAAAAGGGTAAATTACAAAAACCCCTTTGTACTGTGGGATCAGTGACAAAGACCCCCATGTACTTTTTTTTGCGACTAACACCCCCCTGAACTTTAGCCGTTAGACAAAGACCCCCTCCGTTAGCATTCAGTCAATTAACTTCGAAAAAGATTCTCATCCGATTGTTTTAAGTTTTTTTAAATGCCCAAACTACCCTTTTCTTTTATTTATGCACTTGCACTATTCATTCTCTTCTCAACTAAAGTTAACTAAAATGCGATTGGTAAAGACAAGCCCAATTTAGTTTTCTATACATTTAGAACCTCCAAACTCCATAGCCCAATTCAGTTTTTTGAGATAACAAATCTGTTCATTCTTGTTCCTTTATTGCCTCCTCAAGTTCCACGAGCAACACGTCTTCCAACAATGAACCATGGAACCTGTTCTGTCACTGCTTTAGGGCCATTTCATGTTCTTCCTCTTCCAACAATAAATCACCTTTGGTAGATTCTTTTCGTTTGCAACACGAAGAATTACAATTTTTGGAAACTGCTGGTGCTACAGATAAAGCTTGTTCTCACAATTTAAATCATTTGGGGGGCACTGAGGGTAGAAAGAAGATGGTCTCCCCCACCAACACCACTCATCAAAGGTGACCAAAGACATAAATTTTGTTTTGTTTTCTTCATTAAACGAACTAAAACGCAAATTTTCTTCTGATAGACAAATCCATTATGGTTCCTTAAACACATACTATAGGTGTGGTGGTCAAGCTACGTTCGAGGGGTCTTCTTGAAGGACGAAGGAAGACCGGGTGCAGGTTGGGGGTTTGGAGATTAGGGTAAACGGAAGTGATAAGGGAGCATGGTAGGAAGATTGGATGATTCGAATGATGATCTCTTGTCATGGGATGGACTCTCATTTATAAGGAGGGATCCCAAGGTCCCGAAAGGAAGGCATTGAAAGAGTTTGATTCCCATTAGAAAAGGGAATATTAGATTTATTGTCGGTCATTAAGGAGCATTGTTAGGGTTTCACCTCGTGTCTTATGAGATCTCTTAAGGACTAATTTTCCTTTTGTCTGAGGATTCTCATAATCCACGTATGCTACTTCTTTTCGTGACCTACTTAACAGATGTGGCGCTAGTGACGTCACTATCTAACAAGTGTATTTTATTAAACTTTCATGGCGCCTAATCACGCGCATGACTTAAAATTGCACGTGCGATCAATATTTAATTCCAGTTCACAATGATCCGTGGTTTTGTAATAGTCTTGGGTTCATCACAAAACTCCGCTTGACCGAAGTTCATCATGGAACTATACACATCCGAGGTTTATCATAGAACCGCACACGTCTAAACTTCATCATAGGTCCTCATTATCCATCGTTTATTCTTACTTTTGTCGAGTACAAGTTTATCGCGATCATTCAATGAGTTATAAGCTCATAACAGGTAATCGATGGGTTATGAACTCATTGCAAGAGTCCATGTGGTATCAATTTGGTGTCTTTTGTACTTTGATGGTATGAGCGAGCACTATGTACCTATACATACTTGTACAATGGTTTTTCCTTTTTCGGTGAGATTTTTTTCTTTACAGGTAATTTCACATGTGAGATAACAAAAGTATTTCCTGATGACAAGCAATGAAGGTATTTTTGGATTAGTTATGTTTTAAGAGAAAATGGCAATAAAAAGAAAATAGAGAAGTTTAACATGGTATTTTGATAATTTAATGCGTGACTTAACGGCTGGGGGAGTATTTGTGTAGGAGGTCTTTGTAATTTATCCTTAATAAAATTCTGATTTTTAAAATTTAATTTTATAATCAAATTATAAATAATTATAGAAATATATTATAGCAAATATTTAAAAGATATTATACTATATATAAAATATTTATCATATTTGGTAAAAGAATATTTTCCATTTCTATATAAGATTTCTAAACCGGGCCGGGCCGGGCCATAAATGAACATCCCTTGACACAATGGCCAAAGAAAGGAAAACAGAGGAAAGACAAGTTTGTTTGATGGTATATTGATACAATAAATAAAGTGGTCCCACCGATTTCGCTTATGATCCAAGGACAACGAGAAGACATGGCCCACCAAGATTTTGGAATTTCCAAGATTAAATAAAGCGGAAGCGTAGCCTACTCGGAGGCGTACTCTACACTTCAACAACGAGTCCAAGTTTAAAAGTGAAAGAAAAAATAAACCTTAATTAACGGAAAATTTCTCTTGTCGCTTTTCTCTTTCCGTTTTCTCACACAGAAGAATGCCAGTACACGCGCATTCCCTTCTCTCTCTTACAAGTTACAAGAAGCATCCAGTCATCCACCCAACTGTCGGCGGGTGTGCTCGTGATTCTCCCTCAATCTCTCCGTCTTTCCTCGCTCTCCGACAATTTTAGTTTCTTCCATCATCGCTCTCTAAACAACGCGTGGCACCCAGATCTTATGTCTCGAAACACATTCTCTGAGTTTTGAGTGCTATTTTGATCCTTTCAATTGCTACTGCCTCTTCTTCTGTTTGGGAAGACTGCTGGGTCTAAGTGTTGGAGCAATCCGGGGGGAGAGAGGAATGCTGTGTAGCCGGAAAATGTTTAGCCTTTTTATAAAGAAAGATGTGAGGAAGATACTGAAACGTAAGGACAGTGATGCCGGAGAAAAAGGTAACTACTCTCTTCTTTCCCTTTTCTGTTAACTATAGATTTGCTTGAGTTACGGATGTGGGTATTTGATTTTGGAGTTTTTTAGTTGCTTTTCTATTGTCGGCATTTTGTTTTGTGGTTAGAGTTCTGGGGTTACGTTGATTTGATTTAGAATGCAGTTTTACATTTGAAAAAGGAAGACAAAAAAGAGGTTCCTTTTTACTTGGTGAACTTAGAATTTTTCGTGCTCTCTCCCCTAATCTGTAGTTAGGGTTGATGGGCTTTGGTAGATTCGGTCTAGGAATGGAAGTGTTAGTTGAAAGAACAGTTGCGATGAATCAGAGAGATGGGTCCTTTCACTATGGGGGGAATGCGGTTTTATTTTGTTCTTGGGTTATGGGCTTTCTTTCATTCTTTTTCCTAGTTTATTTGCATTCGGGGTCATAATTTTATTGTAATCATTTTTTACCCTTATCATCTCTAGAGAATGCGATAAGGCGTGCCCTATGATAAGTTAATATCATCACCACCATCTTGGGGGAGGGGGAGGGGGAGGGGGTTCAGTAGGTCTATCTGAATTGAACATTGCAATCTATTTATTAATAGTAGGTAGGTAGATTTCTTTTGAGAGATAAGGCTGGGCAGTTTGTAAACTGAACCTAAGAGTACGAATTTACATTTGGGTGGTGAATTGCATTCTGAACATAAGCTACCTATCATTGAAGGTTAAAATTAACTTAGTTAAGAGTGACTATGAACTTGGATTTTTAGTTTTTTTTGTCAAATTTTCAATTGTCGAAGCCAATCTTTTATATTAACTTTCAAAGAGCTATATGTTCTGTTATTTAGCTCCTAATGTACTGAGTTGGGCTATTTCAAATAAAATGTGTTGTGTTTTTCTTTTTAATTTTCATTTATTGTTATCAAAGTTCTTTTTATGGCCTTAACTTTCAATCTGTTTGAGTACTGAATTTGAATTTGCAAAATGTGATTGAGTTCTTTGGATGGAAAAGTCACCTACTTTCTATATTCTTCTTCAATTGGTCACTTAAATTTTGGGTTCATTAAAATCATAGAATTATTTGGTTATCATGAAAAGAATGTCAACCAACCTCATACTTGTTACAATCTGCTTAACTTAGTAGTTTAGGCTGAATTCTTAAAACAATAGGAAGTACCGGAGTATATATATTTACCATTGCATCATGGACATTACTAATAGGATGTTAGGACGTTAACCCTAATGTTTTAGGAATGAAAGTGATTTATTTGTGAAAAGATTCAGGGAGTGACTTGGGAGAAGATAGAGTTGTAAGTTTCATCGTGCAAACAATCAGGAAACAACCTGGAAGTGATGTGAAAGCATAATTTTGGTAGATATAATAATCCCTTGGGGTAATGGCCTAGCTTGAGATAGAAATTAATGGAGTGGTTTAAAAGATTAAGAAAATAAGGGCAGATAAATAGAAGGGAAATATCTTATCTAATCATCGTTAAATGTGGAGCAAAGAAAATAAAACTTCTTTTTTATATAAGCTGCACCCTTTTCCATGTAGAAGGGGTGGGAAACAAAGTTGTGGTCATAAAAGAAGCAGAAGTGTAACTAATGGATGAGATAAGTTTCTGCCTTTTTATGAACAAACAGATCCATGAAGAAAGAAACAACAGATAAAAAAGACCATCATGGAAACAGGAGCCTTTTATTAGGGAACATAAAATATAATAAAGATATATTACATCACCTAGAGACTCGTAGAAACCTGTTTGTTGAAGCTTAACACCCATTTCAAGAAGATTTTTTGAGCTTAACTTGTTGCTTCTGTTCTATTTGCCTTTTGATTTTGGATTTCCGATCTGATGACTGTCAACGAGTTAATTGTATTTTGTGTAGTTTAAATTATTCAGCAATTTCTTTTCAGGTAATACTTTGGAGAGAATCTTCATGTCATCATTTTCCCTTTCTGTCTCTTCGTATATGCATTTTCTAACTTTTTCTTACTGTCCAATCAATTCAGGAAGAGCCTTGGAAGATCTTCGTGCTTCATTGTATAATGAGCTGCGTTCTTCTGAAGGTGCAAAGCGTCAGCAACAACGAATATGTGGTCCAACCATAGCACTTACATTCAATTTCTTGGTTTCTGTTGGGATAATATTGATGAACAAATTGGTCTGTCTTTTTTACCTTACTATTTAATTTGATTCAATAACACTTGAGTGTTTTAATAGGTTATAACGGACTCGATGCTTTTTTGTTTTATTATTAGGTCCTTGGCAAAGTTGGATTCAATTATCCTATCTTCCTAACATTCATCCACTATGTATTGAGCTGGTTTTTAATGGCTATTCTCAATGCCCTTTCACTGCTTCCTGCATCCCCACCCTCCAAATCGACCCCATTCTCTTCTCTTTTGGCTCTTGGCATTGTTATGTCTCTCTCCAATGGCCTTGCTAATGTCAGCTTGAAGTACAATAGGTGAGATATTGCATTTTTTTTTGTGTTTTTATAACTTTATATTATGTTGACATTTTCTAAGTCATTGCACATATGTTTTCAGTGTGGGTTTTTATCAGATGGCTAAGATTGCTGTAACCCCAACAATTGTTCTAGCAGAATTTTTGCTTTTTCAGAAGACAGTTTCATGCCAGAAGGTAACTAAACTACTAGCATTAACAAATTCAAGCGATATTTGTTTTTTAGATTGTATGGATTCAACTTGGTTGTTGTCCTGGACATGGCTGTAGCTGTCTCACAGGGAGACATTTAGCTAAATAATAAATGAATGTTAAATTGTGCTTGGTGTCTATTTGGCAATGGATGTAATCATTGAGCTAGTAATTGAAATACAACTCAGCAAATATAGACAAATAAAAACAGAAAAATATGGACAACAATAACTTTCTTTCTTATTTTACTATAATTGTTCGTCAAGATAATTAATTACTTTCTAGCTCATTGGAACCAGTATGGTTACTTTATTTATGTTAATTGGATTAAACTATATTTATGACTGAACTAACATAACTTGGAACTGTACACGTGGTTAGACGAATAAAGACAGGAAATGTTTTGTGTGGGTGGAATGTGGAGAATAATTATATATAGGGGTTCTCCTGGTCCTGGATCTCCTATTTGTGGGGCACCACACAGATTAACTGTAACTAACATCATCCCGGATCCTAGCTCTTTAATTAATGTTATTCTATTCCTTGATTTGATCTTAGGCAATTAGATATCTCTTTCATATGGTTATGATCATCCCAGAAGTCCATATTTGGCAAATGGTCCATCTAGCCATGCATATGATGCTAACAAGTATAGAAAATATAAGAGAGCTCCTTGTTCGTGATGCATTTTATTTGTCAGTTTCCTTGCTACTATTATCATCACCTTAAGAAGGAAGTGTCTCCTATCTCCATGAATGTGTGATTAGGGCTGTATTCACTGAATCTTGCAGGTTTTAGCACTTACTGTAGTATCTATCGGTGTTGCTGTGGCTACTGTTACAGATCTCCAATTCCACCTCTTTGGTGCTTGTGTAGCATTGGCATGGATAATACCCAGTGCAGTCAATAAGATCCTATGGTCAAATCTACAACAGCAGGAAAACTGGACTGCTTTGGCGTAAGTTGTCTATTCCATCAAAGTTGTCTTAATATGTTTTTCACTCTGATGCTTATCCTTTCCAACAGAAAATTAATTATATCTTTCCTAATGTGCAACCATTGAGCAGGTTAATGTGGAAGACCACACCAATCACTTTGTTCTTTTTGGTGACTTTAATGCCATGGCTCGACCCCCCAGGTGTTTTATCCTTTAATTGGACCTCTAGTAGCACAGTGACAATCCTTATGTCAGCAGTCCTTGGATTCTTGCTTCAGTGGTCAGGTGCTTTAGCATTGGGGTAAGTCTGTGTTATTTAGTCTGTTTTTATATGATGATAATATCTTTGTCTCTACAGTAGATACTGGGTTATCCAATCAATTAAAGAATGGGTTTAAAGAAAATTGCTGTCTTATGATCAATATAACAAATTCCTGTTCGAAACTGGCCAAATCAACTAAAAACTGAATGGTGGTATGGCCTTGTCCTATCCAAAGATAGAGTTAATGGAAGCATGCACGCAGTTCATATTTGGATAAACTTTGCTCAACTCGGTAACTTGATTCAAGCTTTAAAAAGGCCATTACTGAATATTGTTACCAATTATCTGCAGTCTTATGAGGGGTGAACTGGATATGGACTTTACCCCTGGCATTTTTAGCATGAAGTAGCCACTCCTAGACTCAAATCCTGCCTGATATTCTCATGCTTAACCGAAGTTATATGTTTGTATTTATTTATTATTTAAAAAAAAAAATTATCAATACTACTTGCTAGACTAATCAGGCCTATCTTGCCTCTTTCCCTTAATTTTTCTCTCCTCATGTACTGGTTTTGAAGATCTCTCCCTGAACACTTTTTGCAGGGCAACTTCTGCTACCACTCATGTTGTTCTTGGGCAGTTTAAGACATGTGTCATACTTCTTGGAGGCTTCCTTCTCTTTGGTTCTAATCCTGGCATAACAAGTATATGTGGTGCAGTTACAGCCTTGGCTGGTATGTCTGTATATACTTATCTTAATCTTCTCGGTTCACACCAGCAACCAAACAAGACATCTCCTAGACAAGCATCCTTCTCTTTGGTAAAATCTAAATTGAGCAAAGAAAATGGTGAGATGCATGATGGAGATATTGATGGGGAATCTGTATGAAGTGGACTTGGAAATCTGATTCTGGTGAGGCTGACTTAAACATGATAAGATAAATTAGTTACTAACCCTCTTCTCTGATGTTTATATTACTGTCCTTCACCTTTTCTTTCAGTCTGGAAAATGCAACGACATATGATGTAGATCAATTACCCTTGTTGGGCATATTAGGTTTACCAACATATTAAGGGTCTTCAGTCTTCACAAGGGAAAACCCTTCCAAGTTTTCCAACTTAGGCTTCAAATAGTTATACCTTTTTTTTTGTCTTCGTACCTCAGGTTACAATTGTTTATCTTACATATATATAATTGAATTCAGAGCTTGTGAATACAAAATTCATTTGATTTGCTATTGACACTTTTCCGATTATTCCATCCCATTTCTAGTTGATTATTTAAAGTAGCAGAATTCTTCTGTGATTTGAATTGTTCTGGATGATTTCCATATAAACATCTAAATTCTCATTCAATTGCCATCCACTGGTGGAGCGTGGTAGCCTCAATTCTCATTAAATTGCAGATCAACCGACTCCTTGTACCCTTATTAAGTAGGGCCTCAGTTACAGAATACACATCAAACCATCAGTTTGTTTTGAGGCAGATTAATATCAATTGTGCTGCACTCGATCTATCTCAATCGGTAATTAATTTGTGGTACAATAATGATTCCAAGGCGGGGGCAGAATAGATGGATGGCTATCCATCAATCCATGTGCTTCTGGGGCTGACGCTATAAATTCTCATTACTGCATTTGTTTCATCTGAGGGACATGGTAGAACAAAATCCATGGATTGCAGGTTCCACGCTGGGCCTCTTTGGCGAAATGCTTCCTCAGGGTCGCTTTCTTGCCCAACTAGCAGCACCCTGTTGGATATTGTCTTCAATGTTTTGGTCGTGGTGTAATTGCATGGGGCCCTTGGTGTTTTCACAAAGACAAATCTCGAAGTTATGATCTAGAGTATTGGTCCAAGATTGTCGTCACCCAACCCAATGGTTCAAATACAGGAAGGAGTTCTGGGTTCTGGACTCCTGGGCACTCCAGGCCAAGATTTGTCTTGTCCAATTTGAGTTCTTCACTCGTTCAATGAACGACCAATGCATCCTTTCGCGTGTCCTTGATTCAAATCAGCAGATGTGCCACATCAAGGTGGTGTTTGATAAGTATTTCTGGAAAGAACAGAAGACGTATGCATAGAAAGACCCAAAAATGCCAAATTTTGGAAGTTTCAAATGAAGAAGCATCCCAGTCTTTGTAAATGATAAATAGCCAGACTAAGCTCTTTTGGTCACCTGGGCTGTTGAAAGATCTTTCTAAAAAGACTTGTCAAATCACACCTTGGTAAAACTTAAAAAGAGGACTGGTTTAATTAACAGAGTTCATTGTTAATCTCTGGCATTTCACCTCTAGCTCTCCAAATCTTCTCAACCCATGCTTGTAAATGAGAACGGGTGGCAGTGCCGCAGTGTATTTCTTAATATGTATGATCTCTTTTCCCCATTTCCAATCCTTCTTTCTCTTCCCCTTTTCAGATTCATTAATTATCACGAGGCAGTGCTCAAGGAGGGAGAGCTCAGATTATACAAGTGGGTACGCTGAAATGGAATTGGAATAAGAAGAGACAGAATGAGAAAAAAATGCTAATCTGGGTTCGATTGGATCATATAGAAATGCATTTTTTTATCCGAAATCCGAAATGGAATTGAAATAGGACGAAAGAGAAGGGAAAAAATGGTAATCTGGGTTTGATTGAGATTAGTTTACGGGGAATCCCGACTATGGCATCCCAACTGCTGGCCCCTCTACCTTCCTTGCTTGTCATTCCCTCGATTTGATATGCAGATGTTGCGAGATGGTTTCTGACCATGAATGCAATCCTATCTCCATTGCACACACAAAGTAAGCAATAACAAGAAGATTCAAGAAAAACAGGAATGCTGGAGTTCTAATCACTGAACCTCTTATGAAGGGAAAGGCTGTTTGGTTGGTCAGTTTGGAGGTGATCAAATGAAAGAATTTATAACACACAAAGCACTCTTTTTTGTGTTTAAAATGAGCCCAGATTTCCTACTCACTTTTCCTACCCACTCTCTACCCGCCGTGAATTGCAGCCACATCTCTCAATTCATAATAAAAATGTGTGGCTCCAATTCACAGCGGGTAGAGAGTGGGTAGGAAATCCTGAGTGGTTTAAAATGCCATTTGGGGCTAGAGATCAAATGTAGGGGATAACAATGAAATATGTTCAAGGGTTGGTTGGGCCTAGAGGTGTCAATTGGACTGGATTTGGTCCAACCTGGTCCAGTCCAATGTGAGTCCACTTACAAATGGATTGGACCTAATCCAGTCCAAATCCAATACAAATCCAATCCATTAAAATATAAATGGACTGGATTGGATCCAATCCAAACCGAATGAAATATCAAAATTATATAAAAAACAAAACATATAAAAATTACAAAAAATATTAAAATGAAGAAAATCTAAAGATTACAAAAATATACCCTTTGGCATTGAAAAATCACTTTTGTAAAAGTGCTTTCATAAACGTACTTTAATAAAAGTACTTTCATTAAAGTGCTTTTACAAAAGCACTTTTATGAAAGTATTTTCATATAAGAGCTTTTGATTTGTAAAAGTACTTCCGTAGAAGTGCTTTTATAAAAGTGCTTTTGTAAAAAAGCTTTCATAAAAGTACTTTTAAAACTACTTTCACAAAAGTGTTTTTATAAAAGTGCTTTCGTAAAAGTCCTTTCATAAGAGTGTTTTTATAAAAGTACTTCTGCAAAAGTGCTTTCGTAAAAGTACTTTTATAAAAGTACTTCGTAAAAGTGCTTTTACAAAAGTACTTTCTTAAAAATTCTTTTGTAAAAGTGCTTTCGTGTAAAAGTATTTTTGTAAAAGTGCTTTTATAAAGCTGCTTCTGTAAAAGTATTTTTGTAAAAGCTCATTTTGGAAAGAGTACAAATGCAAATATGTACAACGTAAATATATACAAAATGATACAAAATATAAGGTTTTGCACTACATATTTGCATTTGTACTCCTTCCAAACTCAGCCAAAGTACTTTTCATAAAATTACTTTTATAAAAGTGCTTTTGTAAAAGTATTTTTGTAAAATTACTTTCATAAAAGCGATTTTGATGGCTTCAGTTTTGGTCGGTTTCAAATTGGACAAGGGTTTGGACTCATGATCGCATTATTGGAAATTTGGTTTAGGTCCAATTCAGACCAATAAAAATATGGACCAATTTTTTTTTGGATTGACCCAATCCAATAATTGTAATGGACTGTCCAAATTCAATTTGATAAGGTTTGGATTGGATTGGATCCAATCCAAAACCGGCCGATTGACACCCCCATTCATTTTAAAAAATTAAAGGGTAAATTATAAAGACTCCCCTTGTATTATGGGGTCAGTGACAAAGACCCCTTTGTACTTTAATTTGAGACAAAGACCCCCCTGAACTTTTACTTTGTGACAAATACCCCCTCGGCCATTAAGTCAAATGACAAAAGGCATTAAATAACCAATATACCCCATTAAAGTTTCTCTATTTTCTTTCTCTTGCCTATTTTCTCATAAAACCTAATTGAAGGATTTGTAGGTATCTGTGTTTATGTGCATTGCCTTGCAATGATTAGCAGCTATGGTATTTCTATACTTGTTCACTAATTGATTGCTTGCTCCTCTCTCTTTCTCTCTCTCCATCATTCCTTGCAAACATTAGCCTGGAATAGCAGAAGAGGGCCACTTAGAGTTTCCCAAAATTGCAAGCAGGGCCTGTAGTAATGAGTATTCATCTATCTAGATGCATGATCTTCAAACTAAAATTGCCAAACTCAATGCTTTGTTGATGAGATCAGTAAGGTTGTTAGATGTCCCGATCACTGGAGATTGATTAGCATTTGAGGAATTGTCAATCCATTCCTAGGTTGACAGAAGATACGAGTAGTACTACCATCAATATGAGCTTCCTTGGGTTAATAAGGTGAATGGCCAAAATATAATTCTGATGGAATCTATGTTTATTAAGCAACGTCATCTTATGCCTTCTTTTCCTTCTCAACAGTGTCTAAGCTCATGGTTATAAATGTATAACAGGATTGTTCCATCAACTAGAAGTTAAAAGTTTTCCTAAAGGAAGAGAGATAATGTCAGAGGTTGTGGTCAGCTTTCTTCTCAACAAGTTGGACAGTTATCTTACAGTGGAAGTGAAACTATTGAAAGGAATGAGAGGAGAATTGAGGCAGGGTTGAATTAGAAATCATAAATGCCTTTCTTAGATATGTTGATTCAAGGCAAAAGAGTGACCAAGCAATGAAGGTTTGGGTAGGGCAAATGCATGATGTGGATTATGATATCAAAGATATCCTCAACAAGTTTGTCCTTGGAAAAGAACAACAATCTGACAACAATGACTGCTTTGTTTTACTACATAAATTTGGTTGTAGGAGATACCAGTTTAACAACTCAATTAATCGCCTCCAAGAATACAAAAGATAATAGAAAGAAGTGAGAGATACCATGCCAACATCTCAAAGGGAGACTTAAGTTCTAAGGATGTCTGGTATGATCCATGGGTGGATTGTCTTTTGCATGAGGATACAAGGTTCGTCATGAGCAGAAATGGGTGTTAGGAAAGTTTTAAATGAAAAAATGGTGGAAATGAGAATCTTTTATTCTCTAAGTTATCTGGGAACTCTAATGGAGGGGGCCTTTGTCGCAAATTAAAATACAAGGGGTCTTTGTCACTAACCCCATAATACAAGGGGGTTTTGTAATTTATCCAAATTTAAAATACTATTATCAATAAATTGGGGTGTGAACCGTCCCTGTCCACACTATTTTGTAGATGGGGTGGTCCACCCAAAACCAAACACACCGTTCTATTGTGGACAGGACCAAAGAGATGTAATCCTCTTTTACTAGTGTGGCACATCCATTGACTTGGATAGTTAGACCAATAAGGGTGCATGAAAACAAGGTTCAAAGTATCAACACAGGTCGATATGCCAGTAGGGTGTATCGACCCGTATTGGTACTTTTTTTATGTTTTATTTTATTTTTCAAAACCGGTTCAAAGGGGCCAATTTAAGCCCCGACTACCCTTTGAATGGTCTAACTTGATACAACCGCTATAGGGGTGTATCGGGAAGCTATCAGCCGATACAGGCTGAAAGGTATCGATACTTTGAACCCTGCATGAAAGAGAACATTAATTTGTCCATTGAAGGAGCAAACAACTCCTCCAATTTTATGGTCCAAACCATACTCAGCTAAAGCCTTATATAAATTACAATTTCCGGTTGGGAGGTGATGAGGGATAATTTGGCCCGACTTGTGATATGATAACACGTGGAGTGACCCATTG